AAGACCAATTAGAAAGATTTCCGTAGTTATAATGGTGGTATTATTTTATCTGTCATATGATTTATTTTTTTTTATGGACTACTATATGTTCATTAACATTTATGTGCTTTTTTTTCCATTCATCTCTCTCCATCTCATGAAAAGCATATCTGGGTAAGTTAAAACACCATGGCTGCTGAACATATTCCTTTTCAGCACCATGTTTATTTTCTATGTTTTATTCTTATATCTTTTTGTTTTTCTCTGAACGTTGTGTAACAAATCCGTGCAGAAAACTGACCCAAATGAAAACTTTTAAAGTACTCACAATAGTGGTAAACCTTGAAAGCATACTCAGTTAAGGTCAGGACTTGCTCCTGCGGGCCTTAACATAATGGATAACTTCTTGGAGATAACTGCTGTCAATTTTTTTTTAAATAAATACGTTTTGGGAGGTCTAAAGCCCAGAATCACAAAGACATTTGAAAGTTTAAGTCAGTGAAAAAATCGTGAGAGTGAAGGCCTAGATTAACAAATGCTGTTAAGGCATAAACTCTGTTTAATTAAATCACAGAGGACTCAGACTTGTAAACACTTTAGTAATCCAGAGTACACAATTTCTTTTTTTCTGTTTGAGCCCTCATGCTATGTAGTAGTACAATAATATTTCATTTGCGCATATAATTTTACTATTTCCGTTTTCACCAGTTCATTTTTTATGTTTCCTTTTTTTCTTAATTGTTAACCTGATATCAAGTTTAAAATCCTCATCTCCTCATTGGTCTGTCGTACGAATGTTGCTTTTTCTTGAATAATTTCTGGAACTCAGGGAGAAAATTTCATCCATTCAAAACATGTATGAGCCATAATTTTCTAAAGGTGTAAGGATGAAACTCAAAGAAAACAGGGGATACCACATTACCTTAGCATTTGTAATTATGAAATGGCTTTATAAAAATAGACTTGATAACATTTAATCAACTTGGGAACCCTGGGTGTCTCTAATGCAGTACAGTACATACAAGATTGCAAGGGCAAGCATTATGCAAGTCTGTTTATTTTGTGGATATTTTATTGTTTTTTTAATAGTAACTCTCAGCAGCTCTGATTTGTTAGGGTCTGTTTAAGTATTCCTGAACATGCTTCACTTAGCTTAAGATACGTCTTCAGGATAAAGAATTCTGCCCTTCAGTTTGCATACACCTAAAAGGTACACATATGTAGAATAATTACAGCATTGTTAAATCTGCTTTGCTAATCTCTGTTATCTGAGATGCTCTTAAATTTAAAGTTACACTTCCTTCTTTTATAGATTTAAAAACTTTAACTTTTTAGTTGCATCTTGATTTCTGTATTTCAGTCATCTTTTCTAAAAACTCTTTAAAGCTGGATACAAAACATTTTGTAAAAAAAAAATGAAATTGAATTTCGCACATTATTTTCGGTCTGACTACTATATCAAGTATCAAAAAAGAGAAAGAACAAGGATTTCAAATTATTTAAAAGCCAGGTCACTGAAGTGCCAAAGTTGAAACAGGATCTGACCCAGTTTTTAATTACTGCAGTCTTTTAGACAGATGGATCCTTTCAGATTAAATTAAATCAGCATTATATGGCAATATCAAGTCTAAGTCTCTTTTATTTTTTCTATTTCCTACTTTAAAAACATTTATAGTATTGCAGAAAATACATAGATGAAATGTAACCTGTTATTTTTATTAGACAGTATCATTATTAATTTATACAAATTCGACTGCCTTATTTTGTTATACAATGACCTTAGCTACAGCATTCTAGACTCTCTTAAATATTTAGCAGATGACAATAGAAAAGATGAAATCCAAATCCATCTTAATTCATTATAAATCCTCTCTCCTGAATTCTGTAGTCTTTGAATGTGAGTATGTTAGCATTCGAGAGGCAGATGTGCTTAATCTTAACTTGAAATCATAGGATTACTCAGATGAATGTATCATATTTGGTCTATCTTTTTTGTCTATTTCTCTTCTGTAAACTAATTATGTATAATATTTTGCTTTAAACTAAACATTTTGGTATTTGTGATAATAATCATAATAGTGTCATTAATAATAATAATCGGAGAGTCTGATAGGTAAACACTTTTGTCTGTTATCTTCTTGAGGAAATGTCTCTGAGTAAAGGCCATTTCATAGGATCTAAATTGTCTGTTAGCCAAAATTTTAAAATAAATTCTGCTTGTATTTTACTAACATGATTTGGCTCTTGACTCCACCATGCCTCTTTTTCAATTTATCTCACATTTATGATTGTATTTTAGCTAAGAGACATTAGAATATGCGCAATATAATATCCCTGAGGACTTTTCATGTGAACCCTACTCGAAATATCAGAGTAAATGCTATTATTTGTAGAAATATGAAGATCTGTGTTGAAACATTGTTCAGGTTTCATCAAGACGATGTCCAGACTTTGTGTACTATACAGTTTGCATTATGTGTATCAGAAATCCTAAGCTGTTATTTCTTGTTTGCTTCATGGAGGGAAGCCTCATATTTGTAAAGAAAATCGAATGTCACTGAACGACGCGCTTTAAATCAAGATCTTGTTAACTTCCCACACAAAGTCTATTTAAAGATTATTCTTATTTTTAATAACGTTCATTGAGTTTTGTGCAATGGGTTGGTCAGGGCTGCTGATACAGAGCTAGAATTTTCCCAGTGCAAGGGAAGGATATGTACAAAATAGAAAATTTGCAGGATAATAACAGTTTTGCTCTTATCGTTTCCCACTTCCTTTTGCTCCCATGTACCTCTGTGATCCAGTGGGATATTGAAGCACTAATAGTCCCTGTAGTATGAAACAGTTGCACTCTAGGCTTGGTAGGTTGATGATGATTTGAGCAGTTGTACCTGGCAGTCAGGAAAATGGTGCTAAAGAAAATGGCCCAATGTAAATGTATCCTTAGGAAGTCACTTTGGGGAGGATTAAACATCAGAAGTCAGTGCTGGGGAGGCAACCCTACTTCTCTGACACATGACTCCATAACACAGCTTGACATGACGTGATTTTTTCTTCTCTATTTTTGAAAAAAAAAAAAAAAAAAAAGAGTGGAGACAGCCCACTTTGAGGCACTGTCTCTGAAACAGAAAAAGAAAAGCATCACTCAAATTTTGGATGAATACTAAACAGTTGATGTTCATGAAATTTCCAGACTTTGCTAAACCAGGCTCAAGATAATGATACACTTTAAATATCATGTTGCAGTTACTCCCATAATGTCTCTAGGAAGAGGATTTTTTTCCTTTGAACAGTAATAATGTTACCTTTAAAAATACAGTTTTAATATGGAATTCATTCCAGTGATAGTAAGTGGTTTAAAGCCTTATCTGCAAAATAATAACATTTATAGTAATGCCTAATTAATGTCAATTCTTCCTTATCGGCTTGTTTTCATATATTGCCAAAAACCTAAAGGAACATGGAAATATTTACATTTTAATTCCCTATCTCCTTACCAATGCAAAATGGACACTTTATAACATGTAGTACTCTTCTAATAAAGTCTTAGGAGGAAAAAATCACCACATTCCCCTGTAAAGCATCTTCCGAATTAGAGAAACTATGTAATGCTATTCATGATCTCCAAACTCTATATTTGTAATGAAAGGAAGAGGGATTGATGAGCTTTAAGGTATTCATCTCTTCTTCCTCCTGTGATCAGTTGTATGTTTTTGTATAGAAAATTGAACTGCAGTCACCAATATTTGGCTTTGGGGATCTTCTGTTTTCAGGAAGCCAGTAACTCTCCTACAACAGTACATTCAGGCTGTTCTAAAATATTTGGATTATATTCCAAAACAGGCAGATCACCAGATTAATTTTTCTGATGATTTGCACTATTGATCAAAACAATACTTTTTTTTTTTTTTCCCCTACATGACACTTTTAACTTATTTTGAAAGAGTGGAGTTTTTCTTATAGTGCTAGTTATAAAAAAGACTCAGAGTTTTCTTTGACTACCAACTAAAGAGTACCTATTTAGGTGAATAATAGAAATTTGAGATTTAGTTCTGGTTTAGAAATTGAAGGTTCAGGTTCTGCAGATCTCCTAGTGTATATTAAAAAGTGGTCAAAGAATACTGTTCAAAAAGTAAAATATAATTTAAATAAACTTTAATATTGACAGGTGTTTAAACGAAACATCTGAGGGAAGGAAGTATAAGTTCTGAAGCATAAAATTCTATTTAAGGCAAAGAAATATTCTAAAAATCCTTTTAGTATTCCATATCAATAAGTGAGGCACAGGCCTTAGGATGGCTGTATTCCCTGTGCATGTCCAAGAAAAGGAATTTAACTTTACACTAAAAGTATTTTCAAACCAAAACACTTTCCTTCTGCATGCCTTTGGATTATGTTTATCATACTGTAGTCTTTGGCTACAGCATATATAGAGAGAGAGGGCATCCCATTTCTGGCCTGGCCCCCTTTTCTTCAGCCAAAATCAGTTACCACAACTATATTTTCCTTTAGCTCTGTGAGCCAGACTGCTTCTGAAGTAAGAGAAGTGCTTTCGTACTCTGGAAGTGTATTTGTTTGAGAAGCACTGGAATAATGCTAAGCCTCCACACCAAGCCTCAGGCCAGTTCAGCTGTTGCAGTCACAGAGGACTCCCCAGAAATATATATATATAATTTTATAATTCCAGCATAAAGGAAGGATATTTTTTCATGGAAGTGAGAACTTAAAGTGCCAGTGCCTCTTCTGCAGGCACCCTGGTTCCTTAGGCCACACAGGAAATTAACACTGAATCAAAGAAATAGGCCAAAAGTTCTTCCTGAACCCCATCTCCTTGTAGACCACATGCTGCTGCTCTCCTGCTTTGGAGCAGGAGATTATCACAAGCAAAGAAGGCCAGTGGGCCTCAAAGTCACAATCTCCTTTTTTTTACTGACTTTGATAGCCAGCCCTGCTCTTTCAGCTGGTGTGGGTGAAGAGAATATCCCAGATAAGGAAAAATCTGGGATCAGGTTCGTCCAAGGATGGTGCCTCCATGGGACTCCTCACTGCAGAAGGAGCTTCTGCTTGGGCTTGGGCTTGTTTTGGGGAAGGAGCAAGTCGCACAGGGTTTTGCAGGGTCCATGCTTTGCCATGGGTCACGAGAACTGGCCAGGTGAGGAAAGGGCATCCATGAAAGCTTGGTTTTCCCCAAGGACAGCCATGCCAGCTCGCAGCCCTCATGGCAGCAGGAGCTGCGCAGCCCTGTTGTGGCACCTGAGGGAGGTACAGCACTGCTGAAGCTTTGCAGGCGCCCTGCAGAACCAACTCTGAGGGAAGGCTGCAACCCAAATACCTCATCCACAGGTAGCTGGGAGGTGGCCAGATCTGTCCATGCCTTCATTCTGCTTTCCTAAGCAGCCAAGTCACTACTTGTCTCCCTGGGAATACGGGATTCCTGCACTTCCACCAGCTACTGAAGGTAACATGGTGTTTATGTACCCAGAGAGCAACAACTTCTAATTTTTCTGAGGATTATGCTTTCATAGAAAGAAAGGGTAGCTCTACAATGTCTTTGGACATCTCAGTGACAAAGGATAAGGTATGCTGCAAAGGATGTGTGGGAGGAGAAGCTAGATAAACTTCAGTAACGCTGTCAAGTGTTTGTAATTGACATATTACTACAGCATAAACATAGAAAGTAAAGCAGCTGTCTTTCTATTAATATTCAGAGCCAGGGATTTAAACACATATGCAAAATTGCATATTTGAGTTCCATTTTCTACTAAAGACAAATTCTCTCAGTCTGGCCCCTTGGCAGTGCAAAAATCCCCAGAGAACTCATTGTAAGTAGGATCACTCCGTTGCTTTTAACTGCTGTGATTTTGTAGTACATGTATTTGGAAGGCTGCTAAGGCAGTGAAGAATTGTCAAGGGATAACTGAACCACAAAGGATGTAGTAATAAAGGAGGACAGAGCAAAATTGAAGCTGTAATTCCAAAGTTTCCTTGTTATGTGGGAATGTAAGCAATTTTTAATACTACATTAGCATAGGCTCTGTCTAATTTGTTTTTCACTACAGCTTGTTGCTGAGAGCATTCTTTTGTGTTTCACTCAGTAGGAGGTAACTGAAAATACATTGTTAAATACCAGGAAAAAAATACTTTTGAAGGACTGCTTTTTCTATGCCACTACACAGTGGGTTCTTTATTCTTGCTCTGGGGATGAAAATGTCTGGTCAAATGGCTGAACATGTTTAATATAGGGCTGATAGTCTAGCTGACTGGACTATACATAACTTCACCAAATATTTAATACTGTTGTAATAAAAGTATGTTTTAAGCTCTGAGAATTATGTTTTACATATACACTCATTGCAGTCCAGAGAAGCTGCAGATGCAGGAGTTGGATTGGTAGCTCATCCACTCAATAGAAACCTATCTATGTATATATATGTGTATATATATATAAAACTGAGAAACCATATCGAGTCTATAATTACAAAAATGTATACATCAGTAAACCATGTGGATTTCTTTTGTATATAAGCAATAATATAAACAAATTAACATGGAACTATTTAAGATACAACCAACTTTTAATTAGCCATGAATGGCTTATTTAAGATGCAGAATAGCTGTATTTTAGAGACCCTAGAATTGTGTATAGCTGGTCCAGCAGGTTTAGTGTTCAGAGAGACCTCTCAGACCTGGCTGCGTTACATCCATGCTTAGCTCAGGTCTAGAAGTTGGCAATTTTGGGCCTTCTGGGTCATTACCAGATCAGAACTAAGCTAGTCTCAGGAGGAATCCCTCCGTTTTTTCTCTTCACCAGTGTATTCTATTATATAGTTGATTCCTTCATATAGTGTATCCCAATTCTGTATTGCTTCAGCTAAGAGCAGAAAGAAACCTCGCCTTTTGTATGTTAGGTGTTTAAAGAGATGTCAAAATGCACCAAGAAAAAAGAGGAGAGTTGGGAATGGATTAAAGAATACATTCAAAAAGGGGAGGGAGCTGTATTGTTCACTGGTCTTTTCTTTGCCTTTTCTACGCCTGTCATCATGCTTCACTGTTGTTACCATGAACAAAAAGGCATGGTTGTATCTCTATGGTCCCTACACATACCTCTGCATATTTAACCTTTTTTTTGATCCATTTTTAGACATGAACTTCTGGAAGAAGCTCGGAGGAAGGGTTTGCCTTTTGCACAGTGGGATGGGCCAACAGTGGTTGCCTGGCTGGAGGTAAGTGCTGGCCGTAATTTGGAAATGTGAGTTACATTTGTAGGCTGTGTCTGTGTGCTCATCCTTACAAATTCTAAAAGAGACTGTTAAAGTCTCCTCCTCTCCCCCCTGTGCACTGTGCCATGAGCACTAAGCAGATTTTGACAGTGGGTGGTGTAAATCAGAGACTAGATCTGAAAAGAGTAAGACAGGATTACATAGGGGGATGAAGAAAGGAAAAAAGGCTTATCAAATATACTCGAACCCCAGATTTTTGAAATCTTACAATTTCTCTGTCTCTAAATATCTGGGAAGTCCACAGACAGAGTTTATGTAGGATGATGTGCTAAGGAGAAAACAAAAATTAACTATCAATTTTATTTGAGGTTAACACAGCATCTACATCTTCAAAATTTTTAATAAATTTAAAGAGTTTACAACTTTCTGTCTTTTTAAAATATAATGGGAAAGGGTTGATTTACCTAGATATCATTCAGAACAGGAAAAAGAGGTGTTCCTCTCAGCACTTTCACACAGGATGTGGGAGACGCAGGCTGAAATCTCTCTAATTTGACAGGCAGTGCCTTCATCTCTGAAATCCAGTCTGCAGAGAGCTCTCCTTTATTTGGCGAGCCTAAATGAGTGGATTTTGGAACCCATCCTGAGAAACATTCAGCAGAGCTATCCATCAATTTTGACTTACCCAGGTGCTGAGGGGAGTAGAAGGCAGAAAGTAAGGATGTTCTTATACAAATACATAGTCACTTTTACCTGGCAAGGCTGTATGACTTCAGTGGAGATAGAAGCTCTTTGTTGGCTCAAGGAACGTATGTCTATTCCATATCTATAGCAAGTGTCTCTGTGTATTCCCACCTATTCTCATGTCTGCTATGCGTATCATCCGTTGATCTTCAGGTAGAATTTGTAGAGCTTTTCCCTTCAATTTAAGAAAAAAGGTCCCCCTCCAAAGCTTTAATAGGAATACATTCAGGGAAAAAATGAAGGGTGAGGAATGAAAGCACCTAATGTCTGCAAAATTTCTGCTTCATACCAGAATTGCTAAAGGTACCTAATGAAAAAGACAAACAATTCCAGGTCGTTTGTGCACGACCTTGGAAAATGGGATGATCTCCTCCTTCCCCAAAAATATCTCTGTTTATATGGAACATTTGTTAATTTGGCCACTACCTGACATTTTCATATGACTTTGAGAGTTCTGTAACCAGATTTGTATCAGTTGGAAATATTCAGTATTACAGTTAAAGCTGATTTGCTGGAAACGTGAACAGACAAAGATCTATACATTTCTGAATACTGAGAAAAATCTGCCCTTGATGTCCTCCAGGGTGATCCAAAATTTGAAGACATTTCTGACAAGATAAGGCCTAATCTTTTTTTCCCTTGACTCTTAGCTTCAAAATAGGATATGCTTGCCACTGTCTCAGAGAGGGGCTGTAAAGATGAAGTTCTTGGGAAATACAATGAGATTAGCACAGGAAAGCCCATGAGGAAGTTTATGTTGCAGTATTCAATGCAGATTGAATACTGATGATATAAAGATATGTGGGCAGAAGTACTGTATTCAGTGAGCATCAGTGCATTCAGTCAGCAGATGGACACTGTGTGCATTTCATACTCTTCTAGGGAAGATAAATGTGAACTTCAACTAAACAACGAAATTAATACTAAAGGAGACAAAGGCCCTAGTTAAAGAATTGTATGTGATCACAATTGTGACATTTCCAAACTTTTCAGGGCTTAACTTTTCATCTTTACCATTCATTCTGGTCATTCATATATAGCACAGACATAGTTGAGGTGTATTTTAAGAACTGTGGGTTTTCTTCACTAATTCTGGAAAAGTATATGAATCTTGATATCTGGGTTCTCTGCCTAGAGCAATTACTGTGCCCTGTTTTTAGGGACCGTTTTCATCTAACTGCATTTTCTGGCAGAGACAGCTGTTTGTTAAAGAACTAATTTACCTAATTTGTTAAAGAACTAATTTACCTAATGAGCAGCAAACATTTGAATCTATTTCTGCAGGGTGAATAACTCCCAGTATTTACGCTTTCCTGCTTTTCAAGTGCATGTATGAAAAAAAAATAATGTCAAATTAAATGAGAATATTAAATACATTTTAAAGCTATGCATAGTTTCCTCATGGCCCTTTGTTTAAGCACAGCTGGGTGTAATTACATAATTTTTGTTTTAATTTTCTGAGTTTCACGAACCTTTGTGTTTCATTAGAGTTAGTTGGAATTAGATCATATTTTTAAGGTTCAGACTAGCACTGGATGGAGGGCAGTGGCTCATACCATCAGTGAGAAGGGCTTTTTGAAACATGGTGCAGTCATTCCGCAAGCTCTGTGATACATTGGGAGTTACTACAGAAAAGCCTGACTGAGCTCTTTTGGAACCTGGCATTCAAGTCTGTTTTCTCTGTGACGTGAAAGTGATCTAACAGCTGTCTTTTAAGTAAATTTTTCTCAGATAAGGTATAGACTTGTTAATAACCACACAGTACTTCCTGTACTGAGAGAAATCAAATAAAAATCCTTTCAATTGTCTCTGCTTTCCAGGTTTGTTGGTGAATTTACTGATGCCATATTTTGACTGATTTCCCTGACCTTGTGTCCTCTTTAGTATGCCATTATTGAGAGAAAAAATTAAAATAATGAAATCAGCTAATTCTGATGGCCTATTCAAGATGCACCTAGCTAGGTCTGTCTTCATTTTCCATTATGTTATCCCCAAAATCACAGTAATTACGGCATTCACTGCCTATGTCCTTCTCACAGTTTTTGTTATAACATAATATATATCATACTGTGACAAAAACTTCCCACACATATGTATCCCTGCTATGGAATTACCTCCTTTGGGAGAAAAGAGCTGTAGGCACTGACAGTCATATTAATGAGGCAGCACAAAATGAGAAATCTGAGAAACCCAAGGAATTCATACCTAGTAGGTCCCACGAAAAGTTGCTAGGAGTAGAGTGTACCTCTTACAAGGAAAGAATAAGTGGTGAAACAAGGGGCTGTTGCTGACCTAGCCTGGTAAGACTAACACAAGGAGAGGAAAAGCACGAAGTCTAAATCCACAGGTCATGTAGCTGTTTGCTGCAACTTCTAACACAGATTTCTAGCTAGGGTGTGACACCATACCAGACTGTTCCCAAATTTACAGTTAGCTCAGTCCTCACTAGATTGGTTATCTGAACTGTGCTTGGTTTATTTCTACCAAAAAAAAATTAAAATATGTAAGATTGTGCCCTATGAGTACACCATGGGGACTAGCATGGAAAAAGAGATAAAGCCATTTTAGTATGAAAGTGAGAAAGTTACCTAATTCCTCTTAGATTGTTTTCTGTATATGATAAGACTATCAAATGGGCAGTGACACTGGCTTGTGCCACTACTTATTCATTACAGGCCTGGGAAAGGAGTAGCCCAGGTGATGGAGGCACACAGCTCTAAAAAGAATTCAAAGCATCCCTTACTTTAAAGTTCTGGTTACAATAAAAGTAACAAAAAGAGTTCACATGAAGCCATGGCAATTTCAAAGTGTCTGTAACAATTTAGTTTTATTAAAGACTATGATATTCATACACATTTGTGTATATTATCATGCTTATTCAGATTGATAGGTGCCTTGGTGATTAATTTCATTTGAGAAATGAAGCAATGCTTTGGATGAATGTGTCCTTTCTCTCCACAGCTCTGGCTAGGCATGCCAGCCTGGTATGTCGCTGCCTGCCGTGCCAATGTGAAGAGCGGAGCTATTATGTCTGCTCTGTCCGATACGGAGATTCAAAGAGAAATTGGAATCAGCAATCCTCTTCATCGCTTAAAGCTCCGATTAGCAATCCAGGAGATGGTATCACTGACAAGTCCATCAGCACCGCCAACATCCAGAACAGTGAGTCCTGTTCAGCTAACTTTTTCTTCCTCACTTCACCCTGCAGGAGTCCACAGAAAGACTTTTGTAGTACGAGAGTGGCACTATGGTAACACACACTTCACAATCAGTGGGAACTGTCCTATAAAGACTTAGAAGGACCTGTTCATCACTGGCTTGATTGTTGATCGCTGATATTTTTCCTTTAGCAGATATTACTTATTTGTAAGTCGTACTTTTGATTAACCTTGATGTTATCTGAATCATGAGTATTGAGCACCTTATTTGTAATTTTGCCTGTATTTTTGCCTTTCTCTTCCTTCAAGTCATCTCTCCCAACCAAATCAGATTGTGGGGCTTTTTTGTTGTTCTTTTTTTTTTTTTTTTTTTTGGAGGGGGGGTGGGGTGGGGCAAGGCAGGAGCAGGGAGAGGTTATGTAGGGACACAGCTCTTTTGAATCTTTTTCCCATTCCTCTTTTTTGCATCCTTTTAAACGTTATCTAGTCTGAGTCGGCTGGCTTTAGGTTCTTTATGTATTTAAAAGAAGCAGTGATTGGAGGTGTGAAGGGAGAATCTGGAAGGGAGAAGTGGAGCATGTGCATTCGGTGAGGAAGGGAGCGTGGCAGCAGACGGGAAGGAAGCAAGTAAAGAAACACAGAGATACGAGTCTGAAAGGAAAGGGGAATATATCAAAAAGAGCAAGAAAGTAGATTAGGGGAGAGTAAGAATGTATGTGCTATAGATAAAAGGCTGATGGTGATGGCTATGAAAGAGGCAACAAAGACTGTAAAAAAGAAAAAAAGAAAGGAGGCTTGATCAGATGGGAAAGATGGAAACGTGTCATAGAAGTGAAGGACAAAGACTACTACTCAAGTAGTGCAGCTCAGACTTCTAATAATAACATAATAATAATGATGATGATGATGATAATGATGTTAACAATAATATTATTTATAATTTGTAATATATTATCTTCATTGAATTAATGGAGAATATATTTTGGTGGAAATTAGAATTGTGATACCTTTGAGGGGTACTAGATCCACTGAGCTATGTAAGCAACTGGGCAACAGAACTCTAATGTTCCTATTGGCTGGCCTTCTGTATTCATGTTGCTAAGGTTCTTTAAATATTATGGTTCCCCTTCTGATATGTTCTCCCCTCAGAACAGTTGTATATGTCATAACCATGGTAATACTATGAATTGTAATAGCTTTCACCTAGTTAAAGCAGCATAGACTCAACATGATGGTGAATTACTAAACAAAATTCATTTTGATTTTTAAAGCATAAGAGCATATTTCAAAGCGTAAGAGCATCGGTGCTTATGAAATGAGAAAACAGTACATTCAAGCTAGAAACACTGGGAATAATTTTGCCTTGTTTTATAAATTCTCCCTGAGTACTTGGCTGCCAAAGCTGCCTGCCCTGGAATGTGCATTTCTTCTGAGTCCCAAGGCTTTCTGCCTCCCTCTTTCTCAGGGAAGGAGTTCATTTACTTCAGCTCTCAAGAAAACACAGCGGACTTCCATACCCCCTCCCTGCCTCGTCTCATTGTCCTAGTAATAATCTGATTGAAAACAATAGGATGAGGGAAAACAGTTTTACAAGTGAAATCTCTTGACATTTTTGATTTACAGAAACGTGGCAGAAGTAATCATTATTTAGATTACAATATGAGCATGTGATGTGTGCAGAATATTTAGGCTGGAAAATCTTTGAGAACTGAAGCTTACCTCTAGACAGAGCTATGAGATAAAGGATGTATTTGCCGCTTCTGTGTGAAATGCAGTTTTAATTATTATTCTTTCCTTTGTGACGGTGCTCTGCCAGATTTCCTCCATCAGTTCTAGTTGACATGCTCCATCGCGTCTGTTCAGAATCCTCTAACAAAAGATACAAACCAAGTTGTCTAAAGTTGTCTCTAGTTGCAGCTCGGTAGAGGCAAGAACGTGGTTGTGCTGATGGTGATGCTATACGCTGTTAACTTACAGTGGTGCTGCCTTTCTTCTTTACCACTGCTTACCTAATGTGGATCCCACCTGCCTTCCTGCGGGCCTTGTCCATAGCCCTCAGGCAATGTTTGGGTGACCCATGAAGAAATGGAAAATCTTGCTGCTCCAGCTAAAACGGTTAGTCTTTCCACTTCCATTTGAAATGGTTTAGGTGCTCGAAAGAGAACTAGGATGTAGCAGCTTTAACGCAGATGCCATTATCTTCTGTAGGACGCTTCCCAAGCAGGCCATTAGAAAGTTGCAGGGGGGAGTGAAATTGAATTTAAAGAACAGTTACATCATTTCCCAGAAAAAAATAATTGCAAACTGTATTGCGATCACAAAAATTGTGTGAACCTAAAACCAGTATTGGCATTTTACAGTACATAGCAGTTTCACTGCCAGAGTGAGACCTCATTTAGTGAAATGAAATTGTCATGGCTGCAGGTGCAACATTTCCCCTGCACTCCCTGGTACCTCTTCTAAATATAGTTTTATATCTGCTGATATAGAAAGAAATAAGAAAAGGCTTGATAATGGTGCATTACACAACTCAGTGTTTTCATTAATGCTGAGTCTTTCATGTCTGTACTTGTGTATTCATGCTCTTTGATTTAGGGTGCATGGAATGTGTCACTTATTTAGTGATTTCTGTCAAACCTCTCCCTGCTTTGGGGGAACGTAAATAAATATTAATAGATTTTATTCAATAGTCCTGACTTTTTTCTTTTACTTGGAACATAAGTTATTTTAGGTTTTGTTTTTATCATTACATCGTAACAGCTCCGTAACAGTGCTTATAAAACATGATACAATCCTACAGTGAGATGCTGAAAAACCTATCTTCAGTTTGGAAAACTTTATAGTCAGCCCAATCCATAAATGGTGGGGAAGGTACTGAAGCTAAGTTTTGATGCAATGAAGACTTATTTCATAGAAATTTATGCTTGCTTGAAATACTATTTTAAGTTTTCTCATGAACATTCATGAAGCAGATACTCATCAGTAATTTTTTTTTACAACTGAGCTCATTTTCAATTTTATTTTACTTGATAAAGATAAATACAAATATAATGACACTCAACTGACCAGAAGTAGAGTTGATCCTGTTTAACTGGCCAGCCAGAAAAATATAGCTTCGCCATTAAAAAAATGTTATATAAAAAGCTCCTTTACCATACATTCAAAAGAAGTCAACTTTTTATTGTCGATGTTGCAAAATCTAACTAGAAACAAAAAATAGCATCCCTAATGCCCAATTTTGTAAGTAAATGGTTGTATTTTGATTATGAAACCATAAAAAGTGTTTAAGAAAGTTTTACCAAGCTGTAACGATTTTATATCTTGAAACTTGGCTAGATTCGCCCTACTAAGTTTTTATGGGTTCGTCTTGTAATTTTTAAGGTAGTTTAGCCCAGGGCATTGCAAATTATCAGCAAATTTTACATGTATGTTTTCATTTGTACTAAGAAAGATTAACATACACATGAAAATGACATCTTTTTATAACTCATTTTTATTGTCTTTTTACCTGTTTTACTAATTGCTTCCTGCTAATGACACAGAAGGAGTCTGAAGAAGGCAGCTGGGCTCAGGTATGACCCTTTCAAATGATTTTTTTCGAACGGAAAGTTAGTGATAGTGTAATTAACAGTGTATCAGTATGCATAGTATTGAGACAGTATCTCAATGACTGAATTATGATTTACACATTTTAGAGTTCTAATACAAAGAAAATATTCTCTAGACAGGTTTGCTAGGTAAAGCACAAAGAGGTACATATGCTGTAAATACTTTTCTTAAAAGAAACGACTACATTCCAGAGATATCTTCTACTTCCCAACTAAATCTATAAAAAATATTTTCCTCATTTTTGAGAATAGGCTAATAAAATATGCCAAGACTTCGAGATCTAACATTTCTGCAATTACAGCGGACTTTTTTAGAACGATTGTATAAATCAAACACAAGTGTCTGTCTAGAAATAGACTTGTGTAATCATGAAATTTTTTTTCATTTTAGTTAGACCATCACTACTTATAATTTTCAACTTCTTTCTGTCTCTCTAATATATGCACACTCTTACACAATGTTGCTGTCTTTACTTATGGCATTCCTTTTCTCTTCAGAATCTCACAAGTATGAGGGATGAGGGGACTACTTTTTCCCGCATAGATATGTATTTGTATTGCACTGTATTATCCTTTTTTCTATGACAGGAGACATTAAAAACAAACCCAAAAAGATAGTTAGGCTTGGAAGGGATGCTCAAAGCTGAGCCTGATCCTATTGAACAGGTGTTTATCTTGCAATTTATGAGTTCTTTTCTGTTAAGTTTTAGTAGTACAAAATAATTGACAGTAGTGAGATGTAAAATCTGTCCAGTTTGCATCTTAATTGGGCAACCCATATAAAAGTAGCTCAACATGCATGTATGTTTTTCATATACTTTCTTCCTCACCCTACTGAAATTACAGCTGAACAGTGAAGTAGCTTAATGCCTGAATGCTAGCTTCTAGGAGGAATCTGTTTGCTCCTATCTTAAAGAATTAGTTTATTGAGCTCCACATGTGATGCACTTAGGTTTAAGCTAGTCGCAGCTGAAAATAACTCATTAATAGAATGTATTTGGTCACCTGATCTGACTGATGGCAAAGACTGATGGTGGATGTAAGCTTGGCTGACAAACAAAACTGGAATTAATTTTTAGGCTCAAAAGGACTACAGGTGTGTAACCATGAAGTGTCATTAGATCCTGTTTAGGAAATCCTAGCCCCCACTAAACAGTTACACAAACTTCAGATGATTCGTTTGTATTACCAAGTTCATTGTAGGATTTGCCTAGCATAAGTATTCTAGGTCAATTGAAAGCAAGTAAGATTATCCAACAAACACATTTTGATTGTGTAATAAGTTTGCCTGTATTTAAAACTCAAAATTGAAACTATGATTTCTTATTACAAAAAAAAATGCTTAAAATTTACAAAGATGAAAAACAAAAAAATAGGCAAAACTGTTGTCTAATAAATCTCACAGTGGCTTCCACTTCCAGTGTCAAAATGATGTAAAAACAGAATGGGATTTTTTAGACAGGATTTCTAAGCTAGGAAGTCTCACTAGAGCATAGCAGAGAGATATTCTGTCTTCAGTCTGTGATGCAACCTTGAACAAACTCAGGAATTTATTCCCCCTCTCCCTTTTCTGTTCCCCTCTAGACCCTGGCTTATGGTGATATGAACCACGAATGGATAGGTAACGAATGGCTGCCCAGTCTGGGTTTACCTCAGTACCGAAGTTATTTTATGGAATGCCTGGTAGATGCAAGGATGTTAGATCACCTGACAAAGAAAGATCTGCGTGTGCACTTAAAAATGGTGGATAGCTTTCATCGGTATGTTGGCATAAAGACTACACCTATAAAGATGTTTATGGGTCTGACGTAGTGTTCAGTGCTGCACAGAACAAAACCACTTACTTTCTGTGTTCTGGTGTGGAAAACGGCACAGAAAAGTGAGTGCCAAGCGTCAGAAATCTGAATTGAGAGAGATTCCTTTAGTAATAGCAACCGCATTGCAATTATGTCTTTCAAAACTACGATCTCGGTACAGGTAAATTTCATGTTGAGCAGGGATCCATTAATACATAAAGCCTTGACAATACAGTAACAGTAATAATTTATTAAGTGGATTAAAGTATTAGAAAGTAGTAAACTAAGACTTGAAGCCCTGAGATCTCATAATAATGAAAAGCTATTGTGTGTAACATATAAAAGCTGGTAATACAAGCAAATTGACAGTTGTTCAGGTTATCTAGGAATATAGCCAGGAAGCTAAATTGGAAATATGGAAATAAAGGCATTTAGACTTTAGGGAGAATGATGTTTATGTGACAAGCAGTGGATTTTTTTTTTTAATGTACTGTCTGATTTGTCACTTTTTTGAGGCCTGATTTGATGAAACATTTCACAGCTCGCAAGGGCTGACCTTTTCTGAATATGCTTTTTAATGTTTTGGGTTTCTTATGCTAGAACATTTAATCGAACATACTCATTTTGGGTTTGTCCATTTCATTTTTGAAGTCTGTGGAGTTTTTTTAATGGTTTTGCTTTCCCCTCTGTCCTCAAGATTTGCTACATGGGCACCATTAAACACCTCATGTGAAATACAGGAAATACATCCTACATATGTTCCCATCTTCAAAATTATCTTTATTAACTCTGTAAATGTTTCTCTTTAAATAACAGAACAAGCTTGCAATATGGAATCATGTGTTTAAAGAGGTTGAATTATGATAGAAAAGAACTGGAAAAGCGAAGAGAAATGAGTCAGCATGAAATAAAAGGTGATAGTTGCTGGGAATGAATACTGGGAATGTTTCTTCTTTTGAAGCTTGACACTATTAACCCCTTGTCATGCCATTTTAGCAAAGCATTTAAGCATGTGCTTTTAGTAAAACTGACATAAGTCCATCTGTCTTCAGAATGCAAAGTATCTCCTTAAATTAGGCACAGTTAAGTACTTTGCTAAATTGGGGCTGAAATTCCAAATGGCGGTTTGATACATACATTTTGCTAAATTGGATTTTGGGTACAGATCTTATCCTAGCCCCATTCAGTCTGAGAAGCAGAAGGCCAAAGAGCTTGCAGATCATGGGGATGTGCTGGGGGCAACACTGGGAAATGGGAGCACTCAGGATCTTAACACTGTGCTCCTGCTTTTGGAAACCTTTGCCTTTGATTTCTTACTTCAAAATGCATATCATAGAAAATGCTGCATGGACAGGTGGCCACTGAGGCAGTTGGTTGGTATATAAGAATAGTTCCTAACAAAACTGACCTTATTAGAAAATTTAACAGCTGATTTTAAAGTATTTTTCTGTGTAAAACTCTCTAAAGCAGTTGCAGTCTCACTTTTATATATAACAATTAGAGTTGTTGGGGTTTTTTCCATTATGAGAAGTGAATCTTTTGTTTCCATCAAGCATTTCCAGCTCTAGTGAATACAGCAGTTAACACTTCTCAAGCACAATGCCGATTGGAAGAGCTAAAAAAAAAGGGGGGGAATTAGACGGGGGAATGGCTACAGTGAAGCATGCATTTGCTTAAGGCAGACGATGGCATGCACTAATGCAAAGCTTTTGCCTTGGATGTGGAGGCATCAGTGTCATTGAGCCTGAGTGGGTATAGCTGGAGGCTGACATGGGGGAATTGGGTATTCGTTTCAAATTCTGGTGTTGCTTCAATGCTTGTCACTGCTAGGACAAGGGTAATATCCCATAGCCTCCTTCACCCTGTCGTGCATCGGTCAGTTAGACACAGTCCCAGGTGAGATATGGTCTCAGTGATCCCTGGTTGCCACACTGTGTTTCAGCCGATCCTGACCCCAACGTCTGGGATGGTCTTGGTCAGAGAATGGCTGCTCTCAGAACAGCTACATTAGCTGGACTTCAAAGGGTTCAGGAAAAGGCCTCATCCCTCAGTAACACAAAACACAGTATGTTTCCCACTCACAAGTATAAAGATCAGTGTAAATAACTTTCTTTTAATCTTACAGGCAAGGTAGGATACTTCTTTTATAATAGCCAAATCCTCAAAAATGGTTTCCTAGCTCATTTTGTTGCCTTAGCTTTGTAATTGTCATGGACCTTAACAGCTCAAACAGCTTTCTGAACTAAAAATAGTTTTAGTTTCTGAAATTGTGAACTCATCATTTGCTTTATGGCATGTTATAAAACGGTAGGTGCTGACCTGACTCTCAAAATGTTTAATATAAAACTCTCAAGTGAATCCTTGAGGAACAGATATTTCTCCTGTGCCCTTGCCTTGTTAAGCTATAAAATCTTGCCTAAGAATTGAAAAGGCTATCTATAGGAGCTGGGAGGAATTGCATTCTGGAGACGACCTCTGGAGGCACCTTTCTTCTTTGGAATCATTATTTAGAATAAACATTTAACTTGAAGGTAGCTAAAATCACACATTGAAGAGGCAATATTAAAGCTTTATGAATAATTTGCTGACATTCATCATTTAAGAAATAAACCAGTATGATGTCCACAGTGCATGCACAACTACATGCATGCACCTGTGCAGTTCAGAAGTTATTTGGTATCAGGAAACTGAACTGGTGTTATGTCCTTACAGATGTGCTGGTATGGAGCAATGATCGAGTCATACGCTGGATACAAGCTATTGGCCTCCGAGAATATGCAAATAATATTCTAGAAAGTGGTGTGCATGGTTCACTTATAGCACTGGATGAAAACTTTGATTACAGCAGTTTAGCTTTATTATTACAGATTCCAACACAAAACACCCAGGCAAGTTTGCTCATGCTACTTCTGGTTAATGTGTACCCATTATTGCCTTTTATCCATCTTCAACCATTTTAATTTTTTACTTTGGTATCTCTAGGCACGGCAGATCCTTGAGAGAGAATACAACAACCTTTTAGCACTAGGAACTGAAAGACGGCTTGAGGAAGTAATTAATTTTATTTTCAGTATTTATAAAATATCACAGTAAAATATAAAAATTAAATTGAATGCATGAAGACATGTTAATTTGCCCATTGCTAAAAAGAGTCAGTTACATCTTTAAGAATAAAAAAATTAGGAAATGCCAGTCAAGGGTTTTAAAGTAACCTCAGTATGGCTACTTATTCATATCATTTTGGATGCTACATTTGGCACTGCACTCTTACCTTAAGTTGAACATTTTCCATAGAGGAAACATGCAGAAAGGAGTGGAAGTTTCACTGGCCAGAGCAAGTGGCCGGGGGGGGGTGGATGCCTGTGCAACCTATTCTGTATTTTTAATAAAAGTGTGTAAGTGTCCTAAAGAAGAAAGAAGAAAAATGGATTCTTGGTAGTTTGGGTTTTTTTCCCTTTTTGGGGGGTTCTTCAGAGCGAATCAATATGTAATAGAGTGGGCTTTGTGGCAGTTAATCTACAATGGGGAAGCTCAAATCCTCTTATGGAAAATATTTATCTTAAGGTAAGAGTCCAGTGTAAAAATGTTCAGGTCGTAGACTTCTGCACATGAGGAGGAATAAAACATTTAAGGACTTGCTGAAAATGTGAGATGCCTATGAATTCTGTGCATGCACATGAGTGTTTAATTCTTTATTAGCACTTTACGTAAGCCTCCTAATGCAGTAACAAACCATTGCACTGTCTGCCACTGTGTTTTGAAGAGATCTGATTTTTAAGAAAGTTCTACTTTAGCTGACACTAAAACCCTCTACTATATCAAGTCAGAGATTTAAGATGAGTTTTCCACCCTAGCATTTAATATTTCTAAAGCCTTTACCTTTACAAGAGTGTCTCCAGAGCATTGCAGTTACTGGATGCAGTTCAACAGAGCAGGGTAGTTGTTGTGGAATACATTTGACAGTGGGAGAGGCAGGAGACAGCAGGATAATTAATCGAAAGATTTCATTTTGCTTTATCAAATACAACTCTGTGTTGACAGAGCGATGACAAGAACTTCAGACGTGGCCCCTCCTGGCGACGACAGTTTCCTCCGCGTGAGGTTCACGGGATCAGCATGATGCCGGGCTCCTCGGAAACGCTGCCAGCTGGGTTCAGATTAACCACAACATCAGGGCAGTCACGGAAGATGGCGACTGATGGTATGCAGTCATTTCTGCACTTACTGTTGAAATGCGAGAGGCTTATTCTAGCATGCTAAATTGACTTCTAGTGCATGTCTGTCTTGCACTAGAATGGCTGTGTTCATGTAACTAGGATGAACAGAGTCTGGGAGAGCTGAATTAGAGAATGGAAAAGCACTGAGTTGGCATACTATTGATTTTTTTTCAGGTTTGCTTCACACTGTCAGTATTTAAAAAAAAAACCTAACAAATGAAACAAAAAACACCCAGCCATTCTAGACCTGCAAAGGAAACATTCAGAAAGAGAGGAATTAATTTCCTGACTTTCATCTAAGATTGCATATAATATCTAAGCAAATTTTTCAGCTCATTAGCCTCTCTAGCAGGTGGAATGTATTTTAGAGAACGCACTTAGAAAGGGCTATCACCTTTATTTTCCTATTTGACTTTCAAACTAACTAGCTTAGCCTTGACCATCAAATAACTCAAGTTGCTAGCAATTAACAATCAGACAGGTGGTGTAGTTAGCAAATACTGAATTTCAGGTACTGATTGAGTTAAAGTATATCATCAGTCAGTTTTCTCTGGAAATCTTTTAATTTCCAAAAGATGCGCTAACTCAGCAATGATTGGAAAAGTAACATAATTAAGAGATTATCATTAAAAATAAGTAAAATTTAAAAATCATTGTAAGAGGGAAGAGAGAAGATGCAAATCCCATTACAGCTATTCCTCCAGGTATATGGATGATAAAGCCATATATACCTGCCTGAAGTTCTGAGAACTACCAGTTCATAGATTGGCCCATTTCAAATACTGTTTATTTCCTCATGAGAAAATGTAGGTCTATGAATAGACTTGTTTCAAAGTAATTTAATACACGGCTTGTTGTGATAACATTCTGTAACTCTTGAATGAACTTAGTATGACAATATTGCCATCTAAATTCCATTAAAGCTTCTCACCTTTAAACCCAATACTTTATAGTTGCAGTTACAGATGGAATAACTTTCTGATTGCATCACTGAATTCCATTGACTCCACTGCTCATGTGCACGCTTTGCTTTTAATCCTGCACTTTTTGGCAACGATGAAGCCGTAAGACAAGAATCCATTCCAAGGCAAATTCTATGTACAAATAAAGGTACTAGCTCCCTAGGCACTTCCATGGCCCAGATTACTGCAGTAGCTAAGAACCTTACAAACATTCATGGATTTCATCTTCTAGACATACTGTGATGCAGAAGATATTATTCTCATTTTACAGGTGAGGAACCAAGGCACAAGGAAAATTTAGTGATTTACTTGAGGTCTTCCAGACAGTTCATTATTGAGCTGGGTACTGAACTCAGTAGACTTACAGGTTCGTAACTTTGAAGACCTACATCTTCATGCAGGATTTGGCTTCCTCTCTCCCAGTGCTAAGAACTATAATTTAAACAGCATGATAGGTACAGTATTAGGACTTCCAATAAAATAAAGACAAAATTGAGTTTTAAGCTGTATTCACTTAAGACAGATTTCAATAGTACATGAGACATGAAAAAACTCACGAGCTCTGAACTAGACCATGCCCAGGTCATGTCATAGAAAATTTAATAGCCACCCTTCCAGTGCGAAACAGACTATTTATTTTCTTCATGATTCTAAAGAGGTTCTGGTTTGTTTCTTTTTCTTGCAATTTGCAGTTGCTTCATCACGACTGCAGAGGTTAGACAGCTCAACAGTTCGCACATACTCATGCTGACAAGGCCTAGCAAAGAAGCCAGCACTGAATTATTGTGAGTATTCATAAGGGGCCATCATGAAAGCTCTTTATAACTGTACCCTACACCCAATATTCCTTGGCATTATTCAAGCAAGAGCCAGCATGGAGCAGAGGATCTAACTCAGATTCACTAGGGTGGTCATTTGATCATGACAACAGTCTCAAGCTCAGTCCAGGAGATCCTACGTTATTCTTTTCCCCATCGCAAACAGCAGGTTCCTTCTGCTGAAACCACTTTAGCAGACAAGACAAAAGTTGTCAGACAACTCTGTTCAGATGATAGATCACCAATCATAACGTATTTTATACGCTCTCACACTTAAAGCTAGAACTAAGGAGACAGCAGTAGGTACAGGCAGTGAATTTACTTTGTAAGAACTTGAAGGAGTTCTACTATGAGCTAGGGAGAGGGAAAAAAAAAAAAAAAAGCAGCAGCTAGTAAAGAAGTAGAGAATTTACTTTTTTTTTTTTTTTTTTTTTAAATGAGAGATATAGCTCAATTTAGAACATCAGGTAGCTGCATAAAGCTAGAACAAAACTTCCCCTATACAGAAAATCTTCCGAAGTTATCTATTACAGAGATTCTTGCACTTCTCAGATCATTCAGAATTGACCAGTGACAGAGAAAGGATATTCTGAGCTGGATGCAACTTTGGATCAAATTTAGTACTGGAATTCATGTTGCATTTCTCACCACTTATCTTTTCAATATGGCTATGAATCTCATAGATTCACTCTTCCAGAGTTCTGTAGAAATACACTGTTTTCTGCTACATCACAAGTTTTGCAAAAAATGCTAACATGATGAGCGCTTTCATCAATATGGCACCATTTCATGCTAATATTTTCTCAGTAAAACAGTTTTCTTTTCCATTTAGTTACTCAGGATTGGAAGGGAGCTGGAAAGAATATTTGGATAGCACCAAAACCTCACCAGGCATTAAATAGGCTTCGATAGCTGTTACATATTGTAGACAAGACATGTCAAGATCTGCAAGAAATTCCTTTTTTTTCAGATTCCCAAGACTGGGAGAAGCTTAGGGCCATCAAGATTTTACTAATTCTGGGCAGGTTCAAAAAGTGCTTAGGAACAGCAAAGGTTACTAGTGGAAAACATAAGATTGTTCAGGACTCTGCTGATGACATGAGCCTTACTTTACTTATAGACCTTCAGGAGACTGCAAGAATATAAAATCTTAATTTAATAGAAAAGGGAACTTTTCATACCACCACCGAAAAACAAGCACAGGACATTTTAATTTTTTTTTTTCCTAAAATAGGTAAGCTTAGAAGCTGGTCCTACAAAGATGATGATGAAGCGTGTGAACTATAGAAATCTTTTCATGTATATGCATGTATAGATTAGAGCTTGGTGTTGTATCAGTAAAGTCAATGACAGGACTCTCACTGGGTTCACTGGGGGTAGAAACTGATAGCAGAGATGCTTATCTTTACTCCTATGTAATTCAGAACTGCAATGTTGAAAGCAATAAAGTACGACCAAGAAATTCAGTTCAAACACCAAGCTATCTCTTAGGCCAACCATAATGGACCAGGCACATGAGGTGATATTTTCCAGTAAGTCTGAAGAGTGCAACACGGGCAGAAATTGAAAATCAGTATGTTAACATAAATTAACTTAAGATTATCCAAACTGTTTATTTCCACTGTATTCAAAAATGGTCTAAAAAGTAGCAATTCACAAGCAGAAGTAGCAAAATTTGCTGGCACTATATGTACATGGGAGCTATGTATTTTGAGAAAAAAAAAGATGTTTATACAAAGTTATACAAGCTCTACAAGTTAACTTCAATTTCTATGGGAGTATTAGTAGTGTTTCAAGTATCCCTGATACGTATCACATCAGTACTTGATGCTTGTCCAGTATTCTGCCAAGTACATTCTAATCTTAAATGTCTGAGAGCTCTATAAGAACATCAAATTTACATCTTAATTGCAAAGGCCAATATATGAGAATGACTGACATTAGTATACTCCTATTCCTTTTCACTTACCATATACTCCTTTTAGAGAAGCAACAAGATGGTGTGAACTAGAACTTGATGCACTGTTCATAAGTGCAATTGCAAAATGTCAAGCAGGTTAGAAACCAAAGAGCAAGTCAAAATAATTTTGGATTTCAGTGCATTATATAAAAAATATGCAGGGAAAAAATTTCTTTCATTATGGTATCAAACTTGAAAAAGTCAACAAATTACCAGAATCTCAAGGATGAGCGCATAAACAAAACCTGCTCATATGGGGGATGTGAAGTTGGCTGAAGGGCAACAGAAGAGTTTTCAGAATCTTGTGATCACAGTTCCCGAGTAACAGTTTCTTCATGGAAGGAACTGATTGATACTTGGACAAAAGGGAAGATTATTCATTACAACACACCTCCTGAAATTTTCCAGATCCAGGTCAGACTGAGACCCAGGCTTGTAACACCTTCCCTAGAATATATCAGTAGCTGTGTAACTATCTGCATGCATAGAATCACGGACTGATTCTAATTAAGCAGCTGGATGACCTATCACACAATAGCAATACAAAAGAATTTTTAATATAGTAAAGGGGAATCTGCATATGCTGAACAGACTGAAGAGGGCTGCAAACGGGTTGCATGTGGAAGAAATGAGGCGGCCTGTCACCACAGCAGGCTGCAGATCCTTGCATTCTGCTACTCACCTTTCTTACAGAGAATGTCAAAGCCTCATATTTCAAAATAGTTTATGCCAACAATACCAACTGGGTACAGCCTTACAGTGTCTTACGCTGTTTCTTCACAACAGCTGGGTTCAATTCATGTGCTTTCAAGTTGCATTTCAGGTATTATTTTAAACATTTGTTGAAACCACCATGATAAGCTGCCAGAAACCATGAACTGACATTCTCAGAAGAGTTACATGAGCATAGTCTGCACAGCCCAGTTTGAGTGCAGTTTCAAGATCAGAAATTTAAGAACATTTCAGACTGCTGCTGTCTGGCCATTTAAACTTGTAAAGTTTACCACAAGAGCACATGGTGATGGGTCAAGCTTTCTGCTGTGGTGGCTGTATGATACCCAGCTGAGCATCTGCAATGCCGTTACTGCACAGCCAGTGGATTTGACAGTCTAAGCTTTCCCAACATTTTTCTCCTGTGAAATACTCGTCACCCCCAAGTCAAAAGGCTCAGCCAGGACAGTTTTATTGCCACAGGCTGGGGCAAGAGAACATACTAGTTTCACTTTTATTCTAATGAAATGTCAAAGGGGATTTGGCTAAATCAACAGTGTACTTTATCAATGAAGGGTTTCAAAGAGGATTTGTAAAGACGGATGGAGAAGAAGAGTTTCCAAAAGATGTGAATGATAATCTGGAAACAGCTGGTCCATAGCAAAGAAATTGTCAGGGTGAAAAGTTACATGCTGTTGAGTTGCAGTGAACAAGGAGAATCACAGAGTAGATCAACAAGGTCTATATACTTCAAATCTGTGTTCAGCCTTGTGCCAAACAGGCAAAGGTCTCCAGATGCAGGAAACTAACCCCAGTGCTGAATCAAAACAGCAAGAAAACAACTGTAAAATGAACACAAGCAGGAGTCCGTTTTGATCTACGACAAAAATCCATATACATTAGTAAAATATTAAAATGAATTATTAATAGATTTATATTACAGATCTAAAATTAAACAACAAATGCATGTCTCCCTCAGATACTCAAAACCTGTGTTTACTAAAACACGCGATAGCTTACTTAATGCTATAATATTCTCTGGTGTCATTGCATCCTAGACCAAATTAGAATCAAAGAATCTCACTAATTAATGTTTGTTTATTTTTTCCCTTAGATGTCATCTCTTTCTTCTACTTTACCTGAAGTGCACTACCACTACTTAGGAAAAAGAGCATTAAAACTCTCTGCAAGAACAGGGTAATAGGGAAGAGAACACATAAGGTTTATCAGACAAACAGATATGATCCTTTCATGTATTGGTTAGTTTAAAACAAGAATAAAAAATATCTAAATTACTACCAAAAAAAAAAAAAAGAAAAACAAAACAACCTCCCCCTTTCCTCTCAGCATCTCTGTCATCAGAAATTTGGCAGTAGTGCACATCCAAAGCTTTTATCAAATGAAGCCACTCATTTTTACATTGTTCCATCTGTTTTATTGTAAAATACTAGACATTTACGTATTTACTGTGTATGTATTTCTTTTAAAATGTGTAAGTCTTATGTAAATGGATATAAATATGATTTTTTAAAAATAAAATCTATGGTACATGGGGTCTCAGTGCAAACATTTGACAATACATTGTCAATAATACTGTTTGTATCTTTCCATTCCACCATTTTTACAGTTTTTGGATTGTAACAGTCAAATGAATATGTTTAGCAGAGTTAGAAGCTTCAACATGTTCCTACTGAGGTAACCTGTCAATATTTAAAGCTGAACACCTGCCTCTGATGATGTATAATAGAATGACATAACCTGGAACTGGAGCCAAAATGGACCTCTAAAGACAAAATGGAAATGTTAGATACCTATAGAGAAGCACCATGATGGCTCACCTCTTAAAAACAAACAAATAAACCCAGAAGAACTGTTTACACAAAAAAAAAAAAAAAAAAAAGGCAATTTAATAAAACATGATTTATACAAAAAACCAAAACCTTTCTTCTATGTTACCTGCGGACCAAGAAGAATCTTGCTTTACCAAGAGCCACCTTTTCGTTCCAGGATCTTCAGACACCAGACACCATTGGAAAATTAAATCTAATATTTGCATAGAATCAGATTCTCGCTTCCAGATGTATTCAACAAAGAAAGAAAAGAGAAGCCAAACCCCACCATTTCTTCATTATAACAGGGCATTAGACAGGCTCCTGTCTAACGTTATGCTTTTAGCCAAGATGGCCTTGCTGAGACTTCACAGAAGTCAGTTTTATCAGAGGAAATAACTGAAAGACAGAGTGATTAATATATAGTGTACAAAAGTTTAGAAGAGCAACTATTACCTGCTGTGGCTTTATTTGGTGGTGTTATTGTTGTTTATTCTTTGTTTAAATGGGAAGTTTCAAAGTAAGACCTACTTAATAGTCATTTACCTATTTGCTATTTTTCTGCTGCTTGATCTTAGCTCAAGACCTGTCTTTTAGTTATTTCTTTTAGCAGTTTGATCTGCAATGTTTGCACGTACATAAACATTTGTTTTGTCTATTTTCATTTGGCAAACTTCAGTCAATCAGATGGTGAAAGATTTTTCTCCCCCAATGTCAATAAAAAAGAATTCAGTGCTATTTGTGTTTATAAGTCTATTAAGCTTGGTACGTAGTAGCATTAAAATAGTTTGGATGCCAGATACTTCTCATAGCTAAGCACAAGCACTTTTTGCCACTAACAGGTAGGAGTTACGATGGATTTACTGGTCAGAATCTGCCACGAGAGGGAGCTCTGAACTTGCTGATGGGTGCGATATGATGGCTTGGGTTAGCACACAACTGTATGAAGACGTGGCTCTTTTACGTACAGTTCCTCGGGCTTAACCGACATCGTTGCTGATGTTCCTTCTTCTCCTCCCTCAGCCTCCTTTTGGATTATTTTAGTCCAGAATGTCATGAAGTAAAGCAATGCAAGCACCATTTTCAGTGGTTGCAGTATCATTTGAATACACTCCCCCTCATAAATGCCAGCTCCCATTTTTACATAATTTCTTTTGCAGCCTGCACTGTCACAGCCCATGCTCACATTCAGGGGCAGAGGGGAATGAGGTGTTGAGAAAAAGAACAAGCAAGATCTTGTGACCAAAATTGCAGGTGTCCTGCCCCAGGAGTACAGCACCCCCAAGTTACTGATTTCACAGAAAACATACAAGAAGAATTAAAAATATTTTTTTTAAAAGAGTATTATCGTGACTTCAGTTTTGATCTAAGGCTTACATATAAAATCTCTTGGTACTTCCCCGTCTCCCTCATACAAGCTGAAGCTCTACTCTCAACAGATAGAAATTGTGGCTATGCTAAATGTTGTCCAGTTGGCTCCAACCCCTTCAGTACACGGGGAATAATTACTACATCAGCCTCTTCCAGCCAAGTTTCAGTAACTCCCTGACCATTCAAATCTACCCATATGCTGCTTCTCTCTAGAAACAAAATTAAGAAAATTAGTGCTCTCCTACCACTTGTTAAATGGGCTTGTTCTCCCTTGTTGGCATAACCAGGTTGCTGGGCAGCACCAGAGCCATGCACAAGAATGACTGCTCCTCTCCTTGTCCAGCTTGGCACAAAGCTAAATCTGTAGACAAAGCATTATGCAATCACACTTCCTCAGCAAAAGGCTCCTCTGGAAAACAAAAGCAATGTTCATGAAAGAACAATTTTTTCCACACTGTACTGCTGCAATAAGGTGGCTTCCTTTGGCTAGGTTTTCTGAATGCTGATGAATGAGACATTTGGCATTTCTGGAATCCTCCACATATTACCAGGGCAGTAGCAGAGTGAGTACACCTGACCACTCTGCCCTACTCTTTTATCCCAGTCTTGATCTTTAGTGATTCCCACCCCAAAAAAAAAAAAGAAAAAAAAAAAAAGAAAAAAATTTCAGCCTTCCTGAGAAAGCAGAAGAAAAATTATTACAAATATTTTTGTCACGGAGATGCTTTAAGAATGCTAACTATTCAATCTCTTCTTGTTTCTTGTCAATATTAATATGAACAAATAGCCCCTCAGAATGGTAAGTGCCTAAATATCCACTAATAATGTTGGTTTGTTTTGGGTTTTTTTAAAGGTCTTTGCATTAATTCTGTCTTCTTTTAAAAAAGAGCCCCAAACTAAAAAAGATGTTACCTTTCCTTACAAATGGAGAAACTAGCTTAAAGACATTAAAAGTCATTGGGAAAACTATACATGAGCTGAGAAATTAATTCTCTTCTCCTATATTCTATTGCAGTATGTTTACTAGAGGGCTTGTGCTTGCACAAATTAGTTCCGTTCCCCTGCTTCTGCAATTACAACATGATCGATCTGGTCAACAACCAGCTGAACATGAGCCGGCTGTGTGCCCAAGTGGCCAAGAAGGCCAACAGCATCCTGCCCTGTACTAGAAATAGGGTGGCCAGCAGGGGTAGGGGAGTGATCGTGCCCCTATACTCAGCACTGGTGAGGCTGCACCTCTAATACTGTGTGCAGTTTTGGGCCCCTCACTACAAGACAGACACTGAGGTGCTGGAGAGTGTCCAGAGAAGGGCAACGAAGCTGGTGAAGGGTCTAGAGCACGAGTCTTCTGAGGAGCAGCTGAGGAACTGGGATTGTTTAGCCTGGAGAAAGGGAGGCTGAGAGGAGACCTTACTGCTCTCTACAACTACCCAAAAGGAGGTTGTAGGGAGGTGGGTGTCAGTCTCTTCTCCCAAGTAACAAGCAATAGGACAAGATGAGATGGCCTCAAGTTGCACCAGAGGAGGTTTAGATTGGATATTAGGAAAAATTTCTTTACTGCAAGACTAGTCAAACGTTGGAACAGGCTGCCCAGGGAAGTGGTGGAGTCACCATCCCTGGAGGTGTTCAAAAAATGTGTAGATATGGCACTTGTAGACATAGTTTCGTTGGCATGGTGGTATTAGGTCAATGGCTGGACTTCGTAATCTTGGAGGTCTCTTCCAACCTAATGATTCTATGATGGCTGCAGCTGGGATAACTACAGCAAACATACACAACGTCTTAGCTTTCATTGTAAAAAAAGGAATGGCATTGCACCTCATGAATGTGCCACAGTTTCTTTGTGATAAGACCCTTGTAGTTTCTCAATGATTTAAAAAAAAGCCATCACTGACAACTCCCAAGATCCCTCTCTTGCCCTGTAGCTGTTCAGCATAGCTTACTAAATTGTAGCATTGTGAAACTGAGAAATACTCAGCAGTCTCTGCAAGGCACTCCATTATTTGGTATGGGCCTCCTTGGTACTTGAATAATCCATCCAGAAGAAAATACTGTCTTCAACTGCAACTTACATAAGAAGTATTTCAAGAAAGTTATCGGGACATCTCTGAGGAGAAAAATTACTCCCACATCTAAATCACTAACCTGTATAGTTAGCATATTTACCATAAAGCACCATTAGCCTTTAGTCAGTCTTTAAATGCTTTTTACTCCCTCTTCAGATTGTGATTTCCATCTACATCAAAGAGCTGAGCAGGCTGGCTACCTTATGCAATTGTTTGGCAAAAAAACAAATACAGCACAGACTCAAACCAGACTGTTTTGTTATATGACTGTACAACCTGGTTGGTTCAGCTGCATGCAGTCCCTAGTAAAATGTCCATGTGTTTTTTTTTTCATTTATTTCCTATGTAACTGGTAGAGCTCATTGACTCTATTAAAAGGTCACAGACACAAGGCAACATTGGGGTATGGCTCACATTAATTAGCACCCCCCTTTTAGCTCCTACATCAATCCGCTGGTTTTATCACTTAACAGGGCTGCCGGCCTTACCTCCACCCAACAGGAGATAACAGTATTTCTGGAGTTTTTTGAGGACACACTGCCATAGCAAAATATGTCTAGACTTAATTTCTACCTTAGCTTAGCCTAAGTACAGAACCTCTCTTTCATACCAACATCATCTGAATTTGCATATTGCTTCCTGTTTCTTCCTCTGGAAGTCATTGCCAAGTTTGAGTAACTCCTCTGCTTTTAAACTTTTCTGTGAACATATATTTTAAAAAGGATTTTTACATTCATTGTTCAATTAAAAAACTGCAGCTTGAGAAGTAATGCATGTAGAGAATGTATCCTACATCCCCTGGTTTGTTGAGAACCCTCTAAATATTTTGAAATGGCCTATAAAGTCAAGAATGGGCTGCCTAATATCTGTATTTGCTAAATTTCTTGGTTATATGTATCTCAGTGAGCCTGAAATGTCCAATTACGTCAGCAAAAGCACATTCTGGTTATCCTAATCATAAGTGATATAAACCACAACAACAAAATTATCAGAAAATGCACAGGATAATTGCCTGCCTTTGTTTAAAATAGATGGGTTTTATTGAATATTACTATGGACAAATCAAGATTTTCAGGATTTGAAAGCCAGAAAGTATCTATCATTCTACAAATAAGACACTTCAGAAAGTTATCAAGTAAAACAATTATAGGAATCTAATTTATAGCAGAAAGACTTAGGAAAAAAAAAATCAGTGGAACCAAGACAACTAATTTTAAAATTTATAAAAATTTAAAAGACACAAAAGCTCATAATTTACAAGTGAAGACAATTTGTCTGCAGCAATTTTCACATTAGACTTCCTATTTATTGCTGTTCTCAGTTCACGACTTACCTTTTGTAAGATGTTTTAGCCAAACTCACTGGTCACATTATACAATAATGGATTGAAATGTAAGGGATCATCATATGGGACAGATAATCCAGTGGCTCCTTCCCTTTAAGGCTATAGAAATGTATGAATTCTATTTGTAATTCTTAACCATCTTAATATCCAGCTTATAATGACAACATGCAGAGACTTTAGTATGCTTTCTTGGCTGTGACAATATGGTAAAGAACACAGTAACATTTCTGAAGTAAAAGAATTTAGTCCCAAATCATTATTAGTTTTTAAAATGTGTTTTTTCCTAATGGAAAGTCTCTTTGTATACTTCAGTAACTGACGTGTTTGCTATCAATGTATTAGGCTGTCTAATTTTTCTTTAGCACTTCTTCAATGTGTTTAAACACACTAGCATCTTCAATGGTCGGTGTTATCTGAAAAGGAAGAATATACAGAAGCATGTGATAGTAGATTGTGGTCCTTCAACAGTAAAACAGAATTTCATTCAGAGAATCTTGTAAATCTAGCCTTCAAAAGCAAACAAGAAAAAAGTATCTGGAAAGCTTTGGAACATGAAAATCTTTTGGGTAAGGTACAGTAGAAGTAAAACATAATGTACTACCTGAAGTCATGGACCAGTGCAGAATGGTTTAGAGAATCAAAATCACAATGTTGTGTCTTTCAATGTGCACGTGTGCCTAATTCATTAAAACATACATCTTCACCCTACCTTATATGGCTTTCCACTGACAAGTGCAGAAAGAGCTGAACGTGGTATCTTGCCAGAGCGTGTTTTCGGTAGCTGTTTCACAAAAACACCATTCTGGAAAGCTGCTACTGGACCAATGTTAGTTCGAACTTGCTCAACAATCTCTTCCAAAATCTTCTCCTCTTCCATCTTTATACCTAGTGAAGAAGTTCATATCCTTTACCTTTTCTGGGACTTTTGCAAGTCTTAGTAATGTCAGTATCAGGGAGCTCTCACCTTCTCTCAGTACACACAGCACAAATGGAACATGTCCTTTTAAAGGATCCTCCTGGCCCACAACAGCACAATCTGCCACAGCGTGATGGAAGAGAACACACTGAGGGAAGAAAACAAAACTAATTTGAACTAATAATAATTGAACATTTCAGTGAAAAAATTCCATAGGTATGGACATAAAAAAAGAGGCTTATCTCTTACATTTTGACAGCAAAACGTATTTAGTCAGTACACCTCAGGATTCCAATTACACATGTTGCAGATGCACATGTGTGTATACTTTCATACACACTTACATGCAGTTCTCAAACAAACAAGAAATAAAAACTATGGCAGTACAAGATACAAATATAGAACAAAGCAAAGGTGATTTCCTTACAGCTTTGGGAGAGTATCACATCTTTGTTTTTGTTAGTGAGATCTTTGCTGGAACAAGTAACATTAGTCTAACATTACAAATAACATGGAGTTAAGCGCATGGAGTAAGGACCAAAACCACAGGAGCACTCCTACTACGGGGCTATAAACTCATATTGGTTCGTTCTCTCTAACTCCTATCTTTGTCATTCTTTGCTACACAAAAGCATAGTTTCAACGAAAGCCAAATACAGGCCCAACCTCAGCTTGCAGCACTAATTAAACCAGAATCCCCTCCTTCCTACTACATGTTTACACAATAATAAAAGTGATGGACGGTAGCACTAATATCTCAAACTCTCTTTTAGGGAAAAAAGTGAGAAATTCTCTTTTCTTTCCAATTAGCCAGCTGAGGTTCTCACTTCCTGGAAAAAAGTCACCAAGATGTCTCAGTACATACTGAGATGTGTGTCACTAAGACTGGTACAAAGTTGGGCTTAAGATACAATAAGTTGTGAATCCTTTTCCAAAGCAACTGGCTCTTTTCATGTAGATGTCAGTGTCCCTTGGGGCATCTTGCCATCAACAGTGCTTTCAAGATGTCCTCTGTACTCAGCCACAAAGAGGATCTAACCTGACCCTACACAGAGGCCACATAATGTGACTGTGCATATTAATTTATTTGTTTGCTAATAACAGACCTTCACATGCCGTGCTGTCAAAATCAAAGGCAGTGGGATGACTGAAAGAAGACTAACTAGAAGAAGTTTTAAGAATAAGGCTTTTTTTTTTTTTTATTAAGTAGGAATACCACATTTGCATTGGCTGCTCATACAATGGTGCGAGCATAAGGAAAAAGACAAGGAAAGGTACAGAGAAGACAGGAGAAAAAACCCTGAAGGAATGGAAAGCTGAATCATTGCTGCTCCAATTAACAAAAGGGAGGATCTTGTGTGACCAGTTTGTGAAACTGATAGTGGAAGGAACAATCCAAAGGGTCTCCCATGACCCATCCTCAAAACAGATTTCACCATCCTTAAGACTTGTAGTCAAAACAGAAAAGAGAAACTGGCTCTCTGTGCCAGTTTTTAGCAAAATAATCTCCACAAGGTGTTTTTTGCATACTTATACCCATTTCACAATCTATGATGCTACAAATGTCCCATGTTACAAAAAAGCAAATGGGAAACACTTAACTTAATAGTAGAAGCATGCTCTACCAAAGTGCAAAAGCACGACCATTTACGCACAGCTTTTGAAACTGTGTATTTTTCACAAGAGTTAAATGGGATGTGCACAAGCCATATATAGACAGCAAGTGCAACAGGCTGGAGTTAGTTCTGGCTGGGCTTATCCCAGAACTACAAGGGCAGAGCAGCCTGCTGCAAAACTGCTGAAGCTTGATATACACAAGTACATTTGAATTCAGATGCAGCCTACGTTGACCAGAAATCATTGTATCCAAACTGACAAATCATACAGGAATGAATCTTACGCAACTCCAAATCTCCATGGTATTTCAATGCTTCACATATACTTAGGCGCTTTGGTCACGTCTAGATAAAGCCTCAATAATGCATTCTGTTTCCTGCTATAAATACCCATTCTTTCCTGCTCTGACTTCTTGACCCTGACCACAGCAACTTGATTGCCATATATAACAAAAAAAAATAAAGAAAAAAAAAGGAAAGAAAAAGAAGAAAAGGCAATGAATTATGGGAAAGTAGACTAGTACAGTCTAAAACCAGAGTAACTATTGTGTTCCACAGAAACATTGGAAAAAGGTCTCAACATTAACATCAATACCGTAACTACCTATCAGCATCAACAGGACTCCTATGGTAGAGATTTAAGTGTTGCCAGCTTATTTTGTAGTAGCTCGTTTGTGTCATTCCAGTTTGTCACTTATTCATAAGAGTCTTATGATACGCTGGAATATTGCAGTCACTGTAATATTCTTCTTTTTTGTCTACACAAAATCCTACCAACATGCCTTTAACTTTGGGATAGCTACTTTCAAATGACTGAAAGTATAAATACTAATTTAAAAATTATCAAACTTTGTAAAACAGCTGAAAAGAAGAACAGAATCACCACTACACATTTAAAAATTGTTTAAAAGTAAGAAAAATCTCAAGAAAGTGAAATGGCATTCCGGGAACGATCACTGGGCACAAGGATGAATGTCTAATGTGGCAGCAGACGAAAATCCCAGGAAAGGGATTTCTCATTATAAATTCCTTGATTTCAAGTCTGTTGCCATAGGTAGGCAAGATTTGATTTGGGCTTTTCAGAGAGTCAAGGCAAGCAGGGACACCACAGATGTAAAGACAAAAGAAACAGATAGATCAACACAAGGTGAGGTTACCATAATGGCTAACATTCACTGACTGGCAAGGTAAACAGTAACAGCTACTGCATTGACTCTTTATCGGGGAGTGCAGTGATAGGACAAGGGTTAATGGTTTCAAACTGAAAGAGGGGAGATATAGATTAGCTATTAGGAAGAAATTCTTTACTGTGAGGGTGGTGAGACACTGGACCAGGTTGCCCAGAGCAGCTGTGGCTGGCCCCCCCACGCGCGCGTTTGTTCAAGGCCAGGCTGGATGGGGCTTGGAGCAACCTGGTCTAGTGGAAGGTGCCCTGGCCAATGGCGGGGGGGGCTGGAACTAGGTGATTTTTAAGGTCCCTTCCAACTCAAATCATTCTGTGATTGCAGTAATGATGGAGCTCCAATGATACCTTAGACAAAGAAACTAGTTGTTTGGAACACAATAAAGGTGAAATTCTTAGACAAAGCACTACAGAAAATCTTAAGTTTGTAATGCAGCTATAATATAAATGCAGAGAATATACTTGCTCAACAAGGTGACTGTCACTTAATTAGTTGGTGAGTCAATGAACCTCTAATTCTGTATTTACTGATCTTACTGAAGAGCTAATTTTGGTCTTGTTAATGCTTTCCCATTTAACTAGCAACTTGCTGTGCATGCATTAACAAGACCCCTTTTTTTTAAAACTTTGTTCAAAAGGTGAATAGAAAAGCTTCTAGAATTTCATAGTGATAAAACATTTTTTGTTGCTAGGGGAAAGACCTAACTAGCAGGGAGAAAAACAGAGACACAGAGCTAGGGATGAAGCTTGGGATGATGGATACAAAGGTAATACAGCTGAGGAGGTGATTCAATTCGTCATTTGTTATACTAGCTCCAGATTCAGCCTGAAGCACAGAAACATGCCCGGCTCAGCCCCTGAGCAGTAAGGGGTGGGGAAGAATTCCCTGCTGCACTTT